GGGCTTGATAATCACACCTTTGCTCCTCTTGCCTTATGCAACAGCGTGTGTGCTGTCATAACCAACTCCACTTCCCCAAATGGAACTTCTTCGGTTATTTTGGTGAGCTGAGCACTGGACTCCCACTCTTTATCCTTGTCATTTTCCTTCTTCTGCCGTCTGTGCAAACCGAATGTGTTGGCATGAAAATCCACTTCTAAATAATGACTCAACTTTATATCAAACCACTTTCTAATATCTTAGCCAGTATCTTAAAATTACTCCTTGTCACGTGTGCACCCCTTCTCTTTCCGATGGAGGCACTTTGCCCTCTGTTGACCCTATTTACACCCAGACTTTTCTGTGCAGAACAGTACCCCGTGGAAGGTAGCACCCAAAATTTGCTTAGTAACTCATCTGTTTGAAAAAATGATTTTATACACCTCCAGGTCTCATTGTGTTTCTCAGAATCGAACCCTTAAAGTAGGTAGGAAGGAGGTATTCTTAGTCCCACTTCACAGACCAGGAAACTGAAGCTCAGAGAAATTGTTAGTGGGGCAGGGGTAGAAAGGGGAGAAATTGTATTTAGGCATGTCATTTGGGGCATTGACGTCCAGAGTTCTATCGAACCTGTTGCCCTTGAGTTTGATTCCGACTTTTGGTGACCCACGTGTTTCCACGTAGAACCGTGCCATTGGAATTTTCTTGCTTTTCATGTTTTTCAGAAGATTGATTGCCAGGCCTTCGTTCTGTGATACCGCGGGTGGGTTTGACTTTTTGTTAGTAGTCAATTGAATCCTGTTTGAACCACCCAGGGGCCTCTGAACCCCAAACCAAACTCCCTGCCATTGAGCCGATGCTGACTCCTAGAGACCCCATCAGACAGGGTGGAACTGCCCCTGTGAGTTTCTGAGATTGTAACTCTTTATGGAGTAGTAAGCCCTGTCTTTGTCCTGAGGCATGTGGCCCGCGGTTTCAGATGCAGACCTTGTGGTTAGCAGCCCGATTTAGAACCACAGCGCCACCAGGGACCTCCAGATCGCTATAAAAACTTACCTGTCGGTGAGTCAATTCTGATTCACAGTGACCCTACAGCCAAAGTCGAACTGCTCCATGGGATTCCCAAGGTTGTAAAGCTTTAGAGAAGCAGATTGCCCTCAGCTTTCTTCTGTAGAGTGGCTAGTTGGTTTGAACTGACCACCTGCTGGTGAGCAGCCCAACACTCAATCAACCATGCCACCTCAAAAGAAGCAGACTCTAAAACAAGGTAGAAACCAAGAGAGCCCCATCTGTTACTTCTAATTCCTAGGCTTTTGGAAAGATGCGATCTTATTTTTCATTTGTAATTTGGGGTGTGAAGGGGCTTGAGTGCATTCTGGAGGAATCATCTAATGGGTTCGTAGAAGGTAGAGGCCATAAAGGGACACACGTGTTGTACCACACTGGATGCGATAAAAGCACCATTTTGTCAGGGTAACTTAATCACCCTGCTTTTGAAAGCTGACTCTGCGAGCCACGCACATTTTGATAACACTGGGCCCGAGGAAAGCATCTGCGTTGAGGCCGCTCGTGGTCGCTCTCCTCCTCTCACACCAGGTAAACACTGTCTGCTCCCTCTGAGCCTGCCCTCGTGAGGGCTGCTCCTCGTCTCTTCATTACCACCCCAGACTGGGACGTGTGCAACTTCTCTCCGATAATTCCCTCTCCACGTTCGGTCATCTCTTGAAATCGGAGAAGAGGGGGATGACAGCTCTGGAATCTTTTTTTCCCTTTTCTTTTCATGGCTGCAGATGCATTATAAGCATTCTCCCTGCCACCCCTTTCATTCACAGGCCTGGTAATGAGGTGAAGCGATTAGATAGTACCAGCCAGCACAACACACCAAGCAACTCCAGCTAAAGATTAAGCTCCTCAAGACTGAGCTCAGAGCGACTCATATTAGAGACACCATCCCCTTGACTCAGGACAAAGGAGCCTTTTGGCCCAGGCACTCTTTCATAAGTTACCCTTTCTCAGAGTTACAGTAAGTTTCTCCAGGGTATGGATAACTAATTCTCTTAAGATCTGTGAAAATTTATTTTCAGAATATGAGACAGGGGCTGCCAGTAGCTGACCAATATATTTTATGGCAGATCCCCCTGCTATCAAATGGGGAATAAAATACAGTATATGAATTATTTCATTAACATAGTCATTTGTTATACAAGCATGGTAAGAGTTATCTGGGTAATTGCTTCCTTTCACGCCTTTGCTTAGACCATGAGCTTTTAAAAAAAACAAAATTTATTGGTGGCTGGTTCAACTCTTATCACAATCCATACATACATCCATTGTGTCAAGCACATTTGTACATTTGTTGCCATCATCATTTTCAAAACATTTTCTTTCTATTTGAGCCCTTGGTATCAGCTTCTCATTTTTTCCCTTCCCTCCCCTCCTCACCCTCCCTCATGAACCCTTGATAATTTATACATTTTTTTTTCATGCCTTTCACTGACCGATGTCTTCCTTCACCCACTTTTCTGTAGCCCGTTCCCATTGGGAGGGGGTTATATGTAGATCATTATGATTGAGTTCTCCTTTCTCCCCTCACCTCCTGGTATCGCTACTCTCATTATTGGACCATGAACATTTGACCAGCAGCGGGTTTTCTCCGCAGAATAGTGGAAGAAAGCCCTCATGGATGTGGGGGATGGGTTTTCTCCTCAGCTACAAGGTCAGAGTTTGGGGGTTGTGGAGACCTTTCTTTCTTGGCAGCCTTTGCTTAGACCACGAGGTGCTTGAGTCAAAGATAACAAGCTCCAGGGGGCCTATTAATAATACTTGAAATAGACTGGGATAAGAAGTATCTCAAAGGTTAGACAGGCGCCGATGAGAGCCGTGGAAAGTGATGCAGACTAAGCTGCATTTGGGTGAATGGATTAAAATTTGGTGTGCATGGGTTTGTTGTCCTGGGGTCCTTAAAAGGAAAAGGGAATTCACCTGATTATAGAACTCTTGAAAGCACTTGTTTGCTTACAAAGACTCCCCATTTCATTTCTGTGTATGTACTTTATAGGCAGGAAGTATGGGTTAATAATTCTTCGTGGGTGGTACTTGAAAAAATTTGCTAAAGTTGATTATTAGCACTCTTCTTTGTACCCTTTTAGTAGCCCTGAGGGTGTAGTGGGTTTCTCTTTGGGCAGCTGACCACAGTGTTGGTGATTCAAACCCACCAACCATTCCTTGGGAGAAAAATGAGGCTATCAGCTCATTAAAGAGTTGCAGTCTTAGGGGAGCTGATGTCAAGGAGTTCAAGAAGAAAGAAAATGTTTTGAAACAGATTGTGAGAGCAGCTGTCCAGTACTGCCAGATGTGATTGAATGATGGAACGTTATGATATCTATAAGAGCTCCCAATAAAGTGATTCAAAAAATAAAGAGTGACAGTCTTGGAAACCCACAGGGTCAGTTCTGCCCTGTCATAAGGGGCACTGTGAGTCAGAGTTGACTCAGTGGCAATGGGTTTGGAGAGTTTTGTATCTGTAAGGTGTCCCAGTAGCACTGTGGGTCAGACATGGGGCTTCTAGCCACAATGTCACTGGTTCAAACCCACCAATTGCTCCTTGAGAAAAAGATGAGACTGTCAGCCCACATAAAGATTATAGTCTCAGAAGCCCTCTAAAGCAGTGGCTCTCAACCTGTGGGTTGCGACCCCTTTGGGGGTTGAACGACTCTTTCACAGGGATTGCCTGAGACCATTCGAAAACACATATTTCCGATGGCCTTAGGAAATGAGACACCAAGACACCGAGACACCGCTCCTCTATTGTCTCCAGGCGGGTCCGCCCACATGCAGATACGCCCACATGGGAGTACCCAGCGTGAAGATTGTTACCCATGCTACACCATGCTTCAAGACAAAATTTCATTTATTTGTCATTCGAAATAAATATTTCA